GGCGGCCCCCGCCGCGGAGCCCACCGCCGCCCCGGAGCCCGCCCCGGCGCCGGCAGCCGAGCCGGCCCCCGCCGCCACCCCCGCGGCGGCGCCCGCGCCCGAGCCGCCGGCCACGCCAGAGGCCCCCCTCGCCGCGGCCCCGCCGGAGGCCCCCGTGGTGGACAGCCCCGAGCCCGAATTCCAGCCGGCCCTTGCAGCCGAGTCGTCGGCCGAGGTATTTGAGGAGGCCGAGGAGCCGGCCCCCGCCACACAGGAGCTTCATGAGGATGTCGGGCCGCCGGCCGCCGAGCCCGTCACGGAGGCCGGGCCCGAGGAGGAGGCCGAGGCTACGGAGGCCGCTGCGCCCGCGGCCAACGGCGCCGCGCACGGCGGCAGCGGCGGCGGCCTGGAGGAGGCGGACGCGTACGCGTCCCTGAAGGTGCCCTCGCGCGAGCCGGGCAAGGCCCAGAACGGCGCCGGCGGCGCCGCGGCCGGCCCCAAGAGGCGGGGCGGCGCGCAGGCGCGCCGTGTCCGCTAGGCGCGCCACGTAGATCGTGGGCAGCCCTGTGGGGCTCTCAAAGAGGTGCGGGCCACCGGGCCGCCGCATCACGAGTGATCAAGCCTTCCATGTCGCGCGCAACATGTTTATCCCCTGCGCGCGAGCCTGCGCGCGCTCCGCTTTGCACAGCCATCTAGTCGCGGCTGCCACGCGGTAACCTCCCACACTGATTTGTATGAGTCTACCCACCCTGCCGCCCGCGAGTGCGCTGACTTGCGCCCGTGATGCGTCCCTGCACGCGGTGCCGCCCCAGGCGCACGCGGCCCCAGGCCCCCCTGTTGTCACTGCAGATCGCCACCCCTGGGCACTTGGCCTGCCTTGAGTATGTTGCGGCTCTGCTGCAGTCCATCGCGCCCCCTAGCGACCCGGGTCTTGCCCAACCATCGCCAACAGATGGCGAGGCTGCCAGTGCCTCCTCGCTCGCTATTTAAGATACATACACACAAATATATTGCTGCGCTGCCTGCGCCGGCCGCATGCGGCATTCAGGCACATGCACTCCCATAACATGCCGGGGTGTGCTGTGCTGTGCAACGTTCACGAGTGTGCTGAAGGGTTGCGTGGTGCCGGCGTTCCGTGTGAAGTGTAGAAGGTGGCACAGCTGAATCAGCAGCCTGCCCTACTGGCGTGTGTGGCGTGTGTTGTACAAGGAAACCTGAAGCACCCTAGATATTGTGCCTTTTGCGGCACATTGGGCATGAACGCGCAAAACAGGGCTCCGCGGGCCGCTGTTGGGACGCACACTGTAATCACAGGACATTTTGACACCTTCTGACGGCAGGGACTTGAGATAGCCCGCAAGCTTCTAGGCAGCACACCGGCCAGGAGGCCTGGAGTGAAAGCAGCCAGCTATGAAGGGTGTGCCCAAATGCAGCATAACCACTGACAAATACAGTGAATGCTTAGATCAAGTTGGACGTTGCTTGAGGCCACCACATGCTTACAGGGCCCATCGATAAGGGATGCTCTGCAGCGCTGCCGCTAGCACCCTGCCTGCACGCCCGCCTTGTGAGCAAGCTGTGCGCCGCGATGGCTGGTGGCGCAGCAGCAGCAGCAGCAACAGCAACAGCAGCAGCAGCAGCAGCAACAGCAGCAGCAGCAGCAGCAGCAGCAGCAGCAGCAGCAGCAGCAGCAGCAGCAGCAGCAGCAGCAGCAGCAGCAGCAGGCAAGCCGGCAGGTGTGGTAACTCAGCAGCGTTTGCTCGGTACAGTAATGCGCACCTGGCACCTCTTCCGCTCAAATCCTTGCCCCTGCCCCCTCACGCGCCGTTTCCCCCCCTTAACCCCCGCGCCACACCTCCACCCTGGAGCCGCGCGAGCGGAGCGCGCAGCTCCTGCCTGGTGCGCGCCCTACCACGCTACCTTGAGCGCCTGCCTGTGTGTTGGCTATTTCCCTCGGCCCCATCTGTCGCTGGCGACCCGCACCATGCCCCCCCCCCTGGCGCCCTTCAAGACCTCCGCAGCACCAAGCGCAGCGCTCGGCATATCGACGGCCGGGCTGCACTGTGGTCAACCTCCACGGCCTCGCGCGGTTCTGTCCTAGAAGAAGGACCTGGTTTTAGGACGGCAGGTAGCCTTGAAAATGTGGTGTTCGACGCCTCGCTCAATCGGTTCAGCAGTGCGGTTGGCAGCATGCGTGCGGACTGCATCGGGGCGTGGAGCCCGTGGCGCTCGACTCTGCCGCCTCGACTCTCGCTTGCAAGAAGATGGATATTTTTGCTGTGGCAAAGCGGAGTTTACGGTGCAAGCCATCGGAAGGGTAGCTCGTGTGCCTTCACGGCAGCTCTCTGACAATGGTCAAGCGGGACGCGAGGAGTTGAAGGTACATTGCCACGGCGTCCACGTTTACCGGTATGAGACAACAAACGACTTTCACGGGGTGACACATTTCTTTTCGACTCAGATCCCTCGGATCATCAAATCACATCAAAGCTTCAAGGCCAGGCCAATGAGCCCAATGGCAGAGGAGGAGCCCTCTAGTGATGATAGCTTCAACGAGATTGAGCCAGCACCTCCATGCGATGACGACAAGGCGTGGGATGGGCCGCCAGGCGAAGCGGCGCAGCTGTCTCAGCTCGAGGCGCTAGCTCCTGCACCAAAGCCGCTGCTTCCCCTCGGCCTGCCGTCCTTTGTTCTCCTAGTGCCCACGCTCGCCACAGCCATCGCCCTCGACCCCCTGTTTGCTCACGCGCCCGGCGTGCTGTGGCGCGCGTCCTTAGCCGTTGGCTGGCGCTTGCTGTGGCTTTCGCTCCGCTTTGGGGGCTGGGCGCTGCTAGCAGCGCTGGCTTTTGGCGCTGCGTGGCTGGCTTACAAGCTCACGCGCCTGGCGGTGTTTGTGTTCACGTACGCCGACCCGGGCGCGGGGATTGAGCACGGCTGCATTCCCGACGACGACGACTCATGGGACCATAGGTGAGCAACTCCTTATGCGTAGGGGGGACAGGCGCGGCTGGGGCGCCTCATGTCGCGCCTGCCGCTGGCGGGGCGGCAGGGCAGGAGCGCCTGAGACATGCAGTGCTTCGCCGCGGATCTGGTGCGGTCTGGTGCGTCCCCCAACCACCACGCCAACAGGGCAGCTGGTTCTGGTTGCGACAGCCGCACAACCTGGCGGCCCGTCCTGCGCGATCGTCACTTTCACTGCAGCCGCAAGCCCCAGCGGCGCGCTCGCAACCCCCTCTTGTCCCATGTAGGCCGCTGCTGCTGGCGCCTACGCTAGAGCTGCTGCGGTCCCTGGGCGCAGCGGAGCAGCTTGGCGTGCTCGCAGAGAGCGGCTCGCTGCTGGCGCTGCAGCCGGCGGCATGGGTGCAGGCGCTGGAGGCGGGCGGCGTGCCGGAGGGCTTCCCGCCGGAGGCGGCTGACCTGTACGCCGCCGTCGTCCAGCAGCAGCGGCAGCAGCAGCAGCGGCAGGAGCAGGAGCAGGGGCAGCAGCAAGCGGAGGAGCAGGGGCAGGAGGCGGTCGTCCGCGCCAGCGATGGGGACGGCCTCGGTTGGGTGCACGCGAGCCCCGAGGTCCGGGAGTGCGTCGCCATGGGCGCGCCGGCGACCGTCTTCCTGCTGGGCACCAGCCACGTCAGCAAAAAGTCGGCCGAAGACGTTGAGCGCGCCATCAAGGTGGGGCGGCGCGAGGGTGTTGTTGTGGGCGTGGATTCGGGTTGTGGCTGCGGCGCCATGTCGGCAAGTGCGGGTGCGGCGCTATGGGTTTTGCAAAGTAGGCTGGTGGCCGAGATTTTGAGTGCGGAATTTCGGTATCCAAAGACGAATGTGGCTGGCTGCAAAGTGTTTGAGACAGCCTGTGACACCGGATGTGGTGCAGGCACGGGTGGCAGCGGCCACAGCCGCGTCCTTGCACCGCCCCGGAGCCGTCGCCGCACTCACGGTCAACGCCGGGCGCACCCTGGGCCCGGCAGCGCCGGCTGGGGCGTGGCACCCCTGGCCTCGCCCCTCCTGATTTTGCCAATACGGGTCTCTCGCTGCTATGCGCCGCAGCTGCTTCGCCCTGATGCAGTGTTCCTTGAACTGGACCCCGCGCGCAGCGGATTAATGTTCAGGTGGGACGGCGCCCGCGCCCAGACGCGCAGCCGCGGTGCGCGCGACGCCGCGCCGCGCCGCCAGGCTGGAACGGCACCAACCGCCGCACTTTCAGCCCTCTCTTCGGCGGCCGGGTGCCACCAGCGCGGACGCGCGCGCCCCGCCGCCGGTCGCCTCACCGGCCCGCGCGGGCCCCGCTGACCTGGCACCTCCGGCCGTGGCTCTCCGTCTTGTGCGCGCAGGGACCAGGAACCCGAGGGGAGGGTGGCCCCCACCACCGCGCAGCTGCTGCGGGAGCTGCTGACAGAGATGGGCAAGAGCGACCGCCCGGACATGCTGCAGCTGCTGCTCAGCACTTTCTACAAGTCGCTGGAAGGTGAGGCCGCCCGCGGCCGCGGCGCGCCACTGCCCCCCGACGGTTGTGCCAGCATGGAACAGGGTTGCGCACGATGAATCTCTTAGTGTGAAAGCGGCGCCAACGCGGGAAGCGCGTACGCCTTGCACGAAGCCTCCGCTTCACCAGCAAACTACCCTGGGCCACGCACCCACCCCGGACCACAGCCAATCAAGGGCCTGCTCCTGTTGCCCCTGTGATGGCTGCAGGCAGCAACGCAACCCTGGACCCCCACCCCCACTCTCCCACACACCCCCACAGCCCAGCTGGGCGTCAAGGCCGGCCTCGAGTTCACGGCCGCGCGCCGCGCCGCCGAGCGCGCCGCGCGCGGGGCCGGCCGCCGCTGGGAGCGGCATCTCGAGGCGCTGCTGCACGTGCTGCCCGGGCAGGGGCGCGAGCTGGCGCGGCAGCGGGAGGCGGAGAGGCGGCAGCAGCAAGAGCAAGAGGGCGGCGGCGGCAGCGGGGACTATTATGGTACGGAGGACGGAAGCTCCTCTGAAGACATGGGCGGCAGCGCCGGCGTTGGAGCGTTCGTTCAAGATGAGACGCGGGACACGGAGGAGCTGGGTGCCGAGGCCGGCAGCGCCGCGGCGGCGGCGGCGCCAGCGGGGGAGGCAGAGGCAGAGGCAGGGGCACAAGCAGAGGCGGAGGCAGAGGCAGAGGCGGAGGCAGGGGCGGACGAGGCTGCAGCCGCCGCCGCGGCGGCGGCGGCGGCGGGGCGGCGGGAGCCCGTGGCCGGGATACAGCTGATGCTCGGGGACCGGCCGGCGTCTGAGACGCTCAAGGCGATGTGGGCCGCGCTGCGGCCGTGGCGGCGCATCAGCTTCTGCTGGGAGATCTTCAAGGGGCTCTTCGAACCGGTGGGGCCCTGGGGTTTTGACAGAGATCTTGTGTCGAACCTGGCATGGCTTTAGCTCCCAGAGAGATCACGCGTCCGAGCTGACGAGGACGCCCGGCGGTTGCAGTTGTTTGCCCGCGTGCCGAGGGCCACAAGAGGGCGCGCGTCCTCGTCAAGCTGGGGCGGCGAGCCCTGCATGCCCGTGGTGCCTGAGACCCGCGCCGGCCGACCGGCGGCCTCCTGTTGAACGCGGTGGGCGCCTCACGGATCTGAGGCGTGACGGGCACCCCACCGCGACGCCCTCTGAGTACCTCCCCCCCCCCTTCATCCCACTCCCACCCCAAACCCATCATCCAAACCGGCCGAGGCCCTCCCACACCACTCACG